ATCCGGAGTCTGCTCTGGTTTAAATGGCTTTAAGCTCATGGATTTGATGGCAGCACTGCTGCCATAGCCCAGGTGAGATCCCTGGGCCTCGGGGCAGGAGGTGCATCCCACTGCACTCTGGGCACCAGGTGAAACCCAGTGTGTCTCCAGAGGCTCCAAGGCTTCCCTTAGGGTGCCAGTGGTGATGGGTATAGAAATGGTGCCGGCTTAATGCCATTAAATTCAGGCTCTTTTTGCAGATGTTCTGTCCCAAAGCTGGGTGAGCCTGAGCCGGGCTCCAGCACTGGTGTGGGCAGGAGGCCACTGGAGCAGGGGCTGACACATTTCGGTGAGTTGGGGATTTCTTCGAAGGAAGTGGTTTGAATCCCATGAACCTTTCGGGGACATGATGTGAAGGGATCTTTAACACCGAGTTCCTTGAGTAAGTTCAGCGTGTTCCCAGATAAACAAAAAGAAGGGAACAGAAGAAATGATCTTGATACGTGAACCCTTGGAAATTCTCTTTCTGCTGTGAATGCTGTCTAGAGCTCGAGGCTTCAGGTTCCAAGTTGTTCCTCCCTTCTCCACGTACAAGGTGGCTTTGCCAGCTCCTTTTCTCCTTCCAGTGACTCAGTTTCCAGAACCTCCCCCAGCCATGGCCCAGCCCTGCACAGAGCCCAGGCAGTGGGGTCATGTGCTGGGGCAGGAATGCTGGGACTGACCATGGACTGCAGTTGTACTTTTCATTTTTTATTTACTATCATCAATCTGAGGACTAGTTTTGCCATTTGATTTTTTTTTTCTTTCTTAACTAACAGAAAGAATTACCACGGCCAGAGCACAGTTCAGGTGGGTGATGTGATGGGTGACACGACATTATCCAGGATTGTAACTGTGTTAACCCAGTCCACACAGCATGTTCAGATGGAGGTATGTTACCCCTGATAAGTGAACTCAGTAACACAATGAATTTTGAGTAAGTTTTGGGTCCACATAATTCTGCGCATTGCTGGTATTTCCATGGTTTGTCTCCAAAACCTTGTTGCCTTCAGTACAGAACATTTTACAATATTGACTCTGTATTCCTCTGGAAATCAGCACAACCAGCTGGTGAGCCATGGAGAAAGCTGATATCTGACTTGGGGATTTAATCATGTGCACATTTAAGGAAGACACAGAAAACTTGTAATTTACTCTGGCCTTCGTGTATTCCCAGGCCTCACATAAGGCCCAGAGCCCTCACAGCTCTGTGTTCCACACAGAGACACCTCCTCCAGGAAGGTGTGTGAGTGAGACTGCTCATCTCTGTGGTTCTAGTGAATTTACCAAAACTGGCCTTCTTGCAGGCTGAGTGCAGCACGTGAGGACTAGGACAATTTCTAGGATAAAGAGAAATTCCCATGCAAGAGCAGCCAGATAAAATATCCTGGCTCTGCAGCCTGCAGTGCCTGCTGTGGGCCACAGCCACACACAGGAGTTCATGGGCAGCTGCAGCTCCATCTGCAAAGCCATTGCCTGGCCTTGACGTTTTGCCAGACCTCTTGTGTCATGGGGACCGTAAAGTTGGGATTCCAGATAGCTATTGGAAAAACAGCTATTTCAGATTCAGCAGTGAACCAACATGCAATTAAATTTAGCTTTATGTAGTGTTTGTGCTTTTGATTATCCCAAAGCATGTGTTTTTAAAATAAGAATGTTTCCAGCTCTATGGCATCCCTGAATGTTTAAAGCTGGAAGGAGCAGGGGATGACTCAGAAAACCCTCTGATTCTCACAGGATTCTTTGCTTTAAAATCACGTGTTTGGGTTTTAGTTGTGGGGCAACTGCAGCTTTGCCTGAATAAGGACCGAGGGGTTACAGGGGACCATGAGCATCTCTGGCTGCTGAGGGCCAGTGCCCAGACCCGACAGGATCACCCAGGGAAGGGCACCAGGAGCTGGTTGTTGTCCTGAGCTCCCACATCCCATTTGGTGTAGGTGGCACATTTTGGCATGGCAATTCCCTCCACTCTCTTCCCACTACAGAGGAAGGGAAGGGCATTAAAACCTTATGGCTGGATCCTTTTATCTGACCCTGACCAGACCCAGCCATGGCCACCCAGAGCCCATGGAGAGGGTCCATGGGGCCAAGCTCCAGCCGTGGGGCTGCCTCCCCACCCTTGCTGTGCCTGGGGCTGTGCCAGTGCAGCAATGACCTTGTGTTCAGAAGTGCCAATTTCTGAGCCCCTCGTGGGTTTAATACTGGGTAATTTATGTGAGAAAAGTGACATATGGAGAGAATGATTAAACCTTGTCTGTCTCCTCTTCTGCTATGAGGGAACCCCCAGCAGTGCTGGCTCCAGTGCTGGTTTCCAGTAGCAGAACCAAACCTGTCCCACAGTTGAACATGCAGCAGGCAGCAACTGCACACAATGAGCAGTAAAGCATTTTAATGTCACCCAGTGACAGTGTTATTGTCCTCGTGGGCGGGGAGGCTGGACTGGCTGGATGGCTCCAGGAGCTGCAGCCAACCTGGGCCTGGGCCAGCGTTAATTGCCCAAATTAATGTGTGTCAGGGCTGTGAGTTCCTGGGGCAGGTAACAGTCCTTGCAGTTGCAGGGGGAGTTCCTTTTTTTTCTTAGCAGTTTGAGATCTGGGATGAAATAAGCCAGGACCTTGGCTGGGAGTGCCATGGAAGGGGGATTTCTGAGACCCCTTGATCCTTGCAGCCTGCCCTGGGCAGGGGCACCGTGGTGAAGCACAACCCTGTGTCCAGAGCACCATGTGGCCCTGACTGAAGCTGATGGGGACAGGGGTGAGGTTCAGCCCTGCAGGGTCCCTGTCCTGCTGTCCTGGCACTGCGGGGCTTGGCTGTGCCTGGAGCATCCAGGCCCAGGCTCCCACGGCACTGCTCCCACCCAGCTCAGTCCCTGCCCCTGAGCAGGGAGCCCAGGCTGGAGCCAAGCACTTACAGTAAAACTAATGAAACCCTTCCATGACTTGGCCTTTTAACCCCAAATTTCAGTCCCCAGGCGTGTGATCCTTCACCTCGACTGCGAGCACTCGTGCACTCCGGGTCAGCACAGAGCGTGCCAGAGAACATGGCCCTGGGAGTGTGTGGCATTGGCACAGGGAGAAACAGGATGAATCCTTGGAGAGCTCTTCCCCAGCTGAGCACCTGTGACTCGCTGCTGAAATCAAATGTATTTCACAGTTACAACCACCCCTGGAGGTGCTCTGCTGCCATGTGTAGGAGCTGCACAAGGGGCAGGGGGCTCCTTCCTGACAGTTCAGGTCTGGTCTGAAGGAGCTGGGCTCTGTGCAGCTGTGAGTGACACCTCCTCCAAGGCCAAAGAGGAGCGGTGGCTGCTCTGCCTCACCTGAGGCAGCATCTCACCGTGCTGCCACCCCACCTGGATCCTCAAGCACATTTCCATCCCTCGGTGCCTGCGAGATGCTCAACGAGCCACACAGAAGCCAAGGGCAAACCTCTCCTTGCCTCCACTGGAGCCACAGTTTTACCCCAGTCACCTCCTCCTCCAGAGCTCTCCCAAAAAAGGCAGAACAATGAAAAAAGCATTGCACATGGTGAGCTGTGATCCACAGCGATTCCCACAGCAGTTTTATTGCCTGAAGGAGGAAGAACGTGAACCCTGGAGGGAAGAACTTGCCAAAGTATTTAACATTTCTACATCCTGCATGCAGCTAAAGGTTCCCAAAAATCTTTAAAAATAACTGCAGGGATATTTGTTCAGGGCCTAAGGCCGAGCTGAGCAGGATTTGAGATGTGGCTTTAGAGCGGGGGGCATGGGGGTGATGCTGGGGGCCTTCAGGGCCAGACCAGGCAGGTCCCTGCTGGTTGGGACACCTTTTTGGTTTGAGGGTCTGGGGGTGACTCAGTGGCAGCTGCCACTGGGCTGACAGGGGGCTGGGTGGGTTTGATGCTCCTCTGAACATCCCACCTGCACTCTTAGGTCCCTTGTAGAGAGCCTGAAAACAGGGAAAACCAGTGAACTGTGCTGATGAGCTGGTGGCAAATGGTGTCACACACAGCCACCTCTCCTTCTTTTATAGAAATAATACTCTGAAATAATCCTCCTGAAAGAAAGGTGAAGTTGGTGGTGGATGTTTTAACTGCCAGGTGACCGATGCATGCGCCTGCTCCTTGGACGAGGCTGGGCTGGAAGATACTGGGGGACATTCTCTGCGGGTCCTGCGACGGCAGCTCCAGCGGGACAGGGCTGTGCTGGGGGTGAGCCTGGGACGGGGGAGATGAGCCCGGAGCGGGGAGATGAGCCTGGTGGGCGCTCCCCCGCCCCGCTGCCTGCCCGGTGCCGGGAGGTCTCTGTGCTGTCGGGCACTGGCGGCCCCCGGGGCTCTGCCTGCCCCGCTGCCCCGGACCCCGCCCGGCACCGCGGCCGCTCCTCCGCTCCCCGCTCCGGGCACGGCCGAGGCGGGCGGGAGAGGGGCTGTGCGGGAACCGGGACTGCGGGGGTAACGGGGCTGTGTAGGGTAACGGGGCTGCCCGGGGGTGACGGGACTGCCCGGGGGCCGCCGGTCGAGCGGGACCGGCCCCCGCCCCGCCGCGGCCGCGCTCCGGAGAGGGCAGGGGGGAAGATGCTGAGGCGGGTCCGGGTGCGGGGCCAGCGGCTGCGGGCGGACCCCGAGGGGCCGCGCCGGGACCCGCCTCTCCCCACCGCCCCCGCCGCTCGTCCGGCCCCTGCGCCGGGGCTTGTGGCGGGGCAGGGGCCGGCGGAGACGCCGAGTGCCCGGGGAGGGGACAGGGAGGAGCCGCGGGAGCCGCCACCCCACGGACGGGGACAGGGACGAGGACCGGGACCGCAGAGAGACACGGCCGGGAGGGGACACGCTGGGGACACGGAGCGGGGGAACACGGAGAGCGGGTGGGATATTGAGAGCCGAGGGGACACGGCGAGAGAGCGGCGGGGACACCCGGCTGCCGCAGAGGGACGCGGTCGGTAGAGGCTCTGCCCCCTCTCTGCCCCCTTCCCGCCCCAGGCTCGATGCGGGCCGGCGCTGGCCATGGAGAAGCTGTACCTGGCGGGAAGCAGCGCCTGGACCATCAACAGCTCCCTGGGGAACGGCAGCCTCCGGCTGGAGAACCAGAGCGCCGGCAGGAACAGCACCGCCGACCCCCTGAAGAGGAACGAGGACATGGCCAAGGTGGAGGTGACGGTCCTGTGCCTCATCCTGTTCCTCGCCCTGACCGGCAACCTGTGCGTGCTGCTGGCCATCCACACCACCCGCCACAAGCACTCCCGCATGTACTTCTTCATGAAGCACCTGAGCATCGCTGACCTGGTCGTGGCCATCTTCCAGGTGCTGCCCCAGCTCATCTGGGACATCACCTTCAGGTTCTACGGGCCAGATTTCCTCTGCCGCTTGATCAAGTACTTGCAGGTAGTGGGGATGTTTGCTTCCACCTACATGCTCCTGCTCATGTCCCTGGACCGGTGCTTGGCCATCTGTCAGCCGCTGAGGTCCCTGCACAGGAGAGCTGACCGGGTCTCTGTCCTTCTCACCTGGCTGCTGTGCCTGCTGGTCAGCATCCCTCAGATCCACATATTTTCTCTCAGGGATGTGGGGAATGGGGTTTATGACTGTTGGGCAGATTTCATCCAGCCCTGGGGACCGAAAGCCTATGTCACTTGGATCACCCTCATGGTCTACATCATCCCTGTGTTGATGCTGAGCGTCTGCTATGGCTTAATCAGCTTCAAAATCTGGCAGAATGTGAAGCTTAAGACGGCTCATGGGCCCAGAGTGGGTCTGGGCTCAGGCTCCTGCAGTGGGATGGTGTTTGCCAGGGTCAGCAGCACCAGGCTCATCTCCAAAGCCAAGATCCGGACAGTCAAAATGACCTTTATCATCGTGCTGGCATTCATAGTGTGCTGGACTCCCTTCTTCTTCGTGCAGATGTGGTCTGTGTGGGACACCAATGCTCCGCAGGAAGGTAAGGCCTCTCCTCTCCCTCGGCCTGCCGTGCCTGGACGGCTCTGCTCAGTGCCCTGGGGACATCCACGGTGGAAACTCTGCTCCAAACTGGGTTTTGGGACTGGGAGGGAGATGGGAGAAAGTCCTGAACATGGGTAAACCCCCTGACAGGCAGCAGCAGCTGTGCTGGAGCTCCCTTGGGTCAGGGGTTACCTTAACCCTGGCAAATTCAGGGCCACTGCGCTCAGGGGTCAGGCTGCATGGATGGTGGTGGCTGTCCCTGGGTGGTGGCTGTCCCCAGGTGCTGCTCTCAGCTCTCATGGAGCCACCCAGGGGTCTCTGGAGATTCACTGGCCATGCTGGGTGCCAGGGCACGCTGGGGACTGTGTGGGAGCTCAGGAGAAGGCTGTGCAGCCCGACTTCCCTCCCTTTGCTGTATTGTTTTCTCCTCACTGACTTCTTTGCTTTCTACTCCTTTGCCCTCTTCTCCCCCTCCTCCCGCTCCACACACCCCGGGACTGCACTGCTGTTCTTTCGCCTCTGACTAGAGCACGGTTCCCACAGAAAGCCTCTGATTAATGGGCAAAGCCTTTTCCTAAAAGATGTGGTGTCCGGATTTGCCATTTCTTATAGCTGGGCTGGCTGCTCCTGTCATCCTGGAGGTTGCAGGTAGAATAAATCATATCCCCCTCCCTGGTCTGACCTAGCTGGGTCTGTGCAGGTCTGAGCTGTCCCCCAGCGGAGCTCCCCACATCTCCCTCTGCCCCTGCAGGGAGAGCCACGCGGGAGAGCTGAAACTAAAACTCTGCACAACTTTGTGAGGTAGGAGAAAGGACAGAAAAGCGTATTTGGGGATGAGAACTCCTTGGATAGACTGACCTGGGCTCAACAGAAATACCCGATCTGGGGATGCCAAGGAGTGAGGAGGAACTGCTCCCTGCCAGCCCCAGAGCCCTGCCGTGGCACAGGGCTGTGCAGTGGGGGCACAGCTGCTCCCAGAACCCAGCCCCTCACACCGACCACTCTGCCCTTCCTCAATCCTACTCCAGTTGTACCGTGCTCTGTGGAAAACCCAGTGTCTCCTGCAGCCTGTGCACATCTCTTCCCCCTGGGCCGAGCTGACTGAGAGCCAGAGCCAGGCTGTCTTGTTCTGCCTCTCTGCTTCTCTCTGATCCTTTTATTTTGGAAGTGGAGTGTGGCTTTTTGAACCCCTCTGGATGCTCCAGGCAGCCGGCCCTGGGTTTTCCGCCTGATTTGGGGTGATCAAAACTCGCGTTCCTAGATGGGCCCTGGGGTGAAACGCTGGCTCTCTCGTGCTGTATTTCAATCCTGCAGTCTCAAGGGCTTCCCCTTCCTCAGCAGCACCCACACCTTCCCAGCACCCCAACCTCTGCTGCTTTACTGACCCTGCAGTGGAGCGGCGGTGGATGAGATGTTTGCCCATCCCAGCCTGCCTGCTGCACCGGGAAACATCCCTTGCTCACCCTGTGCCAGTGGCCTTGTGTTCCCTTTCCCTTTCCCATTCCCTTTCCCTTTCCATTTTCTTTTCCCTTTCAATTTTCTTTTCCCTTTTCTTTCCTTCTTTGCTTTGAGGTATCAAGGGAAGCTCCAGCCCCACTGAGCTGTACCACACTTCCCTCTCCATGTTCCTCTGACCAGGCAGCCCGTGGCTGCGACACAGGGTGGGAGCTCTGCCAGGGCACTTGATGGAGGCTTTCGTGGCATGGGGAGGAAAAGCCTGGGGGGGGTTTATTGTGGATAGCAAGTGCTGGAAGACCCCAGCCCTTCCTCCCATGCCCTCACTGGCTGCCCAGAGGCACGAGAGGGGTGGCAGGGTCAGACATCTCTGCAGAGGATACGGACTTTGCCTGCAGCATTCCCATAGCTTTGCCTTGATCTCAGATCCCCTCCCTTGCCAAGGATTGGGTGCTGTGGCTGGGCAGCATGACAGGTGGAGAGGTGGTGGGAAGGGAATGTGGCTGTTCCTCACCTCAGAGCTGTGTGGGCACAGGGCAGGGAGGGCAGGGCAGAGGCAGGGAGGGGGTTGCTGGGTGGCAGTGGGGGCACGGCTGCACCAGGGGCTGACCAGCACATCCCACAGGCTGGGGAGGGAAGTCACCTCCTTAGAAAATGTTTAGCTTTCTCCACACAGGATGTCAAACAGTCTCCCTGGTGAGCAAAGGTCTGTTTGTACCTGACTGAGCCCTGATGAGGGGCTGAGCAGGGGCCCTGCTGTCCTGAGCCTCCCGGAGCGTGACGAGCCGCAGAGCTCAGGCAGGAGCAGTGGGATGCAAAGTGCTTGGTCTGTCCTGGGTGAAACCCCGACACTGCTGGGAGCTGGGCTCCCACCTCGGCAGGATGCCATCAGCTGCATGTGCAGGGGGAGAGATCAGGCTGCAAAGAGAACAAGGGCAGTGCCCTCCTTTCCTCAGCAGCGAGGGGAGAACCAGGGAGGGCTCACCCTGCTGCCTCTGGCCGCTCTGCAGCCGCTTTCCTCACTTCCATAGAACAATGTCCATAAACCAAGGTGAGGGCAGCACGGAGGCTGCAGCCCTGCCCAAGTGGGCGGCAGGATGGGGCTGGTCCCTGGCTGCTGCCCCACCACCGGCCCCTGCACCCTGGGACCGTGGAGCTCCCAGGCCTGGCAGCTCCTCTGTGTCCCTTCCCCGTGGCTGATGGGGCAGACGAAGGTTCCTAAATGTGAGCACCCAGCTCCTCGGAGCCCAGCTGCACTGCCAGGCTCGTGGGGCTGCTGTGTGCCTGGGAAGGGCTGGGGTGTGTCAGCCTGATGCTGTGTCCCCATGCCAGGCAGTGTGATCCCCTCCTTAGGTGGCCACACACACTTGCAGCCTCTGTAAGGTGGGTTGGAGCCACACGTCACATCCAGGTGGCAGTTTAAGCACCAGGGGTCCTCCACAGGCCGCAGGTTGGAAGGAGGTTCCTGCTGCACACACCTTCCAGGGAACACACACAGCATTCTGAGCTCGGAGTCAGAGCTGGCTCAAGGCACTCGGGAGGGAACAGCGAGGCTGTCAAGTGCTGTGCCCCTTGTATTGTTCCCTTCATCTCGGGGTCTGGTGCCCTGACATGTGGGCTGGGAGTGATGGCCTGCGTTAGTGTGTGGGAATTGGGAAGCCTTCCTCATCCCATCCCATCCCATCCCATCCCATCCCATCCCATCCCATCCC